GAGGGGGTTTTTTACACGTTATTCCTCCGTCACTTTTTAACTCGTATTAACAGGTATTATCTCTCTCTCTCTCTCTCTCTTCCTCCCTCTCTCTTCCTCGTTTTCCCCCTCCTTGAAATAATATGTTTCGGCCTCAGTGAGGAGCCGTGTGCCAAATTACACTCTTTGCGAGAAAAAAAAAACATTATTGATCGCCAAATCGGTTTTTTTTTCTTCTCTTTTTCTTTTTTTTTTTTTTTCTCCTTCCAAGGTTAATTACAAAAGAAAAGGAGGAAGGGAAGAAAGAGAGAAAGAAAGAAAGAAAAAAAGAAAAGAAAAAAATTTCATTGCTTCATGTTTATATTTTTATTTCTTATCACATTTATTGTGATAAGGTTTAAAGTTTTCATTGTGTGATAGTGAGAATTATTAGAACAGGTTAGATACTAATTGTGCAAACTTTTTTGTTTTTGTTTTTGTTTTTGTTTGTTTGTTTGTTTGCAAACAAACAAACAAACAAACGCGTTGCGAAATAATAAGAAAAAAGAGAGAAAAAAAATTTTTTTATTTTTGTTGGCAAAAAAAAAAACAAAAAAAAATCGAATAAAATTTTTTTTAATGTTTATCCTGCCTGGTATTTTCTTACTCGCGTGTTTTCCCCTTCTCCCCCGCATTTGAAATGATGATGATAATAATAATGATAATAATAAATGAAAATTTTTCGATTTTTTTCGTTATATGCGTTTGTTTGCATTACGTTTTTAAAAGTTGGTAAAAAAAAAAAAAAAATTAAATTAATGATTTTTTTTTTTTTTTATTTTACGTTTGTGTTGACCTCTCCTCGTGTCAGGAGCTCTATTGATCAGCAATGCAGATTAGGTCTTTGACTCGAGGTCGCCAACCCATCATCACGGGAAACTGCCACGAGTTCAGTGTCGTACGTAGAAAAATCACCTTAGACAAAACTAAATAATAATAATAATGATGAATTAATCGACGGTTCTGTATATGTCGAATTATTATTATTATTATTTTTCTTTGTCGTAACGGCGATGTGATTGATCAGTGATCGTATTATCAACATTCCCCCCCCCAAAAAAAAAAAAATTAAAGCCGTTCGCCAAAAAACGTTCGGTGCGTACCCAATGGTTCATTACCACACAAGGTCGCGGTAGGATGATGATAGAATAATATTTGACTTTGGCAAAAGAAAAAATTATGTTCGTTGATTATATTCGCGGACTTAAGAATGGAGAAGAATGGCGTGAACGCAACACCCACTCGAACATTGGAGGATGATTGGGAGGAGGAGGAGGAGGAGGAGAGGATGAAGATCAATCTCTCACACGACACGATAAATATATGTTTTATTGATGGCATTACCAAAAAAAAAGAAAAGAAAAGAAAAGACATGCAAAACTCGAAAGGAAACGCATACACGCAAAAACATTCACTCATCGGGTTTTAAATTATTATTTAATGGATTTCATGTCGGTTGTTGAGTCCGTCGGTGTGTCGGTCGGTCGGTTTAGAGCAGAAGAAAAAGACACGTGGTTCGATATATATGTGTGTGTGTGTGTGTATTGTCTTAAGAGTGGGTGTTTGGGGAGCGAGTGGGAAGGGAAAGAATTGAAAATTATAAAAGAACAAAGATCGCTGTTATCGAAGTTGTTAAATGTAAATTATCATTGTGGGTCTGCGTTTTACTGTAGACGCAAGCAAGCAAGCAAACAAACAAACAAACAAACAAACAAAAAGACCACGTGATACCGTAGCGTCTTTCGTAGCGTAAAATCCCATGACACGCTCGGAATTTTTTTTTTTTTTTTTTAAGGGGGATACAATTATGGATGATGGAGTCCGATAAATTATTATTATTATTTCCGAAGACAAAGAGAGAGAGAGAGAGAGTGTGTGTCTTTACTTTTTCTTTTGGATTTCGCAACGGGCGAAACGTAAAAAAAAAAAAAAATTAATTCAATGATTTATTTATTTACTTGACCTTTGAATTTTTATCAGTTTTTAATTAATTAAATATTTTTTTTTCACCGTAAATAAAATAATAATAATGATAATAATAAGGAGAAACGTAATGGCGGAGTGCGTATCACGAATCAACGTGTAATTAATCAATCTCTTTGATAACGACGATTTGTGCACACGGGGGGAGGGAGGGAGGGAAGGAGGGAAGGAGGGCATTCTCTCGAAGTAAAACGGTTTTCGTTTTTTTTTTTTTCCCTCTTTCCCTCTTGTTGTTTTTTAAAGTGACTAGTCAGTCAATCAATCAGTCAGTGATTGGTTTTTAGGCGTTTTGAATAATCCATGCATCGATTCATTCAACAACAACAACAACAACAACAATTAGTCAGTCGGTTATAAGTTGGCGTGTTCAACGGTCGTTGATTCCTTTTATTATTATTATTATTATTATTATTTATAAGCGAAGTTTTACCATTTGCCGCCGCCATTTTTTTTTTCAAATCATGCAGCAACATTTTTTTTTTTTAACGCACACAATAGAAATCGCAAAAGAGAGAGAGAAAAGCAAAATAAATAAATGAATTAAAAAAAACGAAATGGCGCACGTTGTTATGTGTACGGTGGTGATGATGATGATGATGATGATTAGGAATTAAACAATTTACAATTTGGCAACATCGAATTTCATCTAGTTAAATTGTTGTTCGTGGTGGTGGGGATAAAAACGCGTGGAGCGGAACTGTCACTATTATCTCGTCTATCGATAGTCGAAGATAGTTATCATCCATTGTTGTAAAGAGTGTGAGACGCGCCGCGTGTTAGATAGACTAATACTGGTAGTATTGGAAACGTAATATTAATACATCTCGGATTTTTAATCTAATAGACGTCCCGTCGTAAAAAAAAAAGAGAAAAAAAAATTTCGATATATCCGCAACAAACGACAACAAACAACAACCAAAAAGAAAAATGGGCGTCGTTGCCGTTGAAATATCTCAAGATTCGGGGGTTGTCGGTAAATATTGGCGTTCGCCGCCAAAGAAAAAATGGATACGACATTATTTGTCAGGTACGAACCTAAAAAAAAAAAACCGTTTTTACTATTATTCGCAATAATCTAATTATAAATATATATATTTTTTTGCAATTAAATCGGAGGAAATGACGTCAGAGTACAAATACCGTGAAAGAAAATTATTATTATTATTTAATTTTTTTATTACGTTTCGCCATTTTGAAAAAAAGAGAAAAAAAACGAGGCGCCGTTGGTCGTTTTTTTTTTTTTTTTTTTTCATTTTGTCGGTGAGGCCGATAAATGCGTTTGTTGTTTGTTTGTTTGTTTGTTCGAAAAGAAGGAATTTTTGTGTTAAATCGCGGATGTAATTTTACGTGCCAGGCGTTCGCGGTATTTATTCACATTTATCAAGTATTATTTTTAGATTTTCCTGCAATTGTTATTGCCAAACAAAATTATTTATTTATTTATTTACGAGTGAAATAAAATAAATAAATAAATAAATAAAAATTTTTATTCGCAACAAACAACAACACGGTAAATTTAACGTAAATGCGCGTCGATCGCAAATAATTATTATTATTATTATTATTATTATTATTATTATTATTATTATTATTATTATGTATATGCCTTAAACGAAGAGTAAAGGGAAACATTTGCAATTACGTCACGAATCATTGATCGTAATTTATGTACTTATTTATTTATTTTAAATGTATTACGTACGCGTTGAATTAATTTTTTTTTTTTTTTTTAAATTCCCCCTTGATGTCGATTATTGAAAAGGAAAAAAAAAAAAAAAAATTGGTGAAAGGTTGAAAACAACCTCCTACTCATTTCGATACCTATTTCGATACCTATATCGAACGATATGATTCTTTCGAGATTTTTTTTTTTTTTTTGACAACATCATAACGTGTTTCTTCTAGTCTCGTTACAAACTCTGCCACATATCGCAAGCTAAGCCAAGCTAAGCTAAGCTAAGCTAAGCTCGCCCGTCGCTTTCAACAGAATGCGGCGGCAGCGGCGGATGAACGCGTTTGCTTTCCATAAGTTAAACATAATTAAAAAAAGCTCGGCTTATCGATTTCGTAAGCTAAGCGTCTTTCTTTCAAAGGTGCACGTGGAGAAAGATTATCGTGAGCATGCGCGGTTAATTTGTCCCTGTTAATAATCACGTGATGACCCCGACCTAGTTTCCTTGTTGATTCTCATTCCAAAAAAAAAAATAATAATAATAATAATAATAATGATAATGATGATGATGATGATAATAATAATAATAATAATAATAATAATAATAGAAGAAGTAGAAAGAAAAAAAAAAAAGAAAAAATTGCGTGCGGTTTCGATAAATGACTCCCGGGGTCATTTAGGCTAATAATCAGGCTGTGGCGTTGCGAACGTGTCGGACGTTTCGTGTCTTTATATTCTTTTGCCACTTTCGGAGTGCAAACGAATAAAAAAAAAAAAAACTCAAATAGGATAAGTTTAATTATGAATTATAATTGTATCAATTCGTAATGACGACAATAAATGACGGTTTAATATCAAAATGGCGGGCGTTAGGTACACGCACGCGCGCGATTTCTTCCTTTCGCGAATCCGACGGCAAAAAATTTCCGTTAATTAATTTGAATTTGTTTTTTTTTTTTTTAATGGCGCGAATCGTGTCTTCGACTTTGTTTGTTCCTTCCAGGTTTGATTTTCGTAATGAAAAAAAAGGGTTCCAAGAGGTTATAAATGGCGCGAGGGGAGGGGTGGTGCGTGTGACTGACTAAAAAATTTAATAAATTTTTATTTTATGTATGCAACATGGAAACTCTTTAAAAACCGTTTTCTTTTCGTGCAACTATTATTATTATTATTATTATTTAAATTAAACAGTTAGATTGTCGCGTATCGTAATTAATATTCTATCGGTTGATGAGAATAAAATTTTTATTAATATCGATTTCCCGATTCGATTCGATTCGATTAATTCGATTCGCGAACGATAAATCCCGTTTGAAAAAAAAAAAAAATGTTTAACGATCGATTTTTATTTTTTTATTTTTTCTTTCTCTTTCCCTACCCCCCCAAAAAAAAAAAAAAAGAATATTCAACCGTCGTGATTAAACAAGAAGGAGGAGGAGGAGGAGGAGGAATCGTACCATTTCATCAACCTTCTCCGACGGAAAAACCTCGGAACAATAATGGTCCAGTCGTCCGGGAAAAAGATGCAGACGATCATCATTCGTATCACAGGGATAGTTCGAGGGAGCAAGATGACATACATGATCTCAGAAGACGTTTTGGGTGAGTGTCATTTCCATTCTTATTCTTTCCCCCCGCTCCCCCCGGCCTTACCCTCCTCTTCCTCCTTTTCCCCAACAAAAAAAAAAAAAACTGATGAAAAGATTAAAAATTTGTTTGATTGATTTAGGTCTGGTACCCGAGAGGTTCACAATAAATTAGAAAAAAATCGTAGGGCTCACTTAAAGGAATGTTTCGAACTCGTTAAAAAACAACTTCCGGCGTCGCAGGAAGATAAAAAAGCGTCTAATTTAAACATATTGCACAGTGCTCTTCGATTTATACAGGTAAAAAAAAAACGTGTCACGTGTCATCAGGTAGCCCCCTCCCCGACTCCCCTCCCATCCCCATTGTCAAAAATTTTAAATTTTTGTGATGACGTCACGATTTGCAACTTTTTATTTCTACGCTCCTCACTCAAACCTGTTTATTTATTTATTTTTATATATTAATATGTCCACATAAAGTCACGGTAATAATATTTAAATGTATATGTATACATGTATAAGGGTTTATTATTATTATTATTATTATTATTGCCGTTTACCGTTAATTTTAAGGTATACAAAAAAAATAATAATAATGATAATATACATGCGTATACGTATGCACGTGAAAAATTCAAATTGCAAATCACTACGTAGTTTGTTCGTTACGTGAAAAAAAAAAAAAAAAATGATAACGTTTATTTCAAGGTCAAATTACGCGCTCTAATTATTATTATTATTATTATTATTATTTAGTTCATTAACCTGATTGACACTTGGTAGTATAGTAGTACTCTATTTTTCAATAAATAAGTATAAGTGATTATATTGATATTGATAATGATAATGGTTAAATAAGAAATTGAGGAGCATTGTTTTTTTTTTTTTTTTTTTTACGTGCAATGCGCGTGAATTGTGTCCTCCCATTAAGGGATGGAGAATCACTTCCGGTTTTTGTTTACTTCCGTTGTGATTGCCATTTAAAAAAAGAAAAAAATTGTTGTTGTCGTTTTAGACGTTACGTAGAAAAGAACGGGAGTATGAACACGAGATGGAAAGACTGGCTAGGGAGAAAATTGCTCTACAGCAAAGGTTTGCGACGTTGAAAAAGGAATTGTCGGCTCAGTGGGACCACATCGATTTCAACACTTTAGTTCCAGATGTTATGGTGGTGGATTCGGTTCATAGAATACATTCCAACGCGATATCAGGTACGTCAAAAAATTAAACATTGAAACGTGTAAGCAGAAGACGAAGAAGAATAAGAAATTTTTGTTTGTTTGTTTGTTTGTTTAGAACAAGACGATGTCATGATAGCATCCGACACGGAAGCTCTGCAGCGTAGGGGATTAATGTACAGCAGCACATCATCACAAAGTTCGACGGCAGCATCTGCCTCTCCTTTATTGCCACTCTCTCTACCGGCTATTAATTCGGACGAGAGGCATTCGCCAAGGAATAATAATAGTAGTCCTAAAAATATCGCTTCAAGAGAAGTAAGTGTCTGACGTTTGGAAATTTTTTTTTTAAAGAAAATCGTCATCGAAAGGTTCGGTTTTAAAAAAAAAAAGGTTTTTCATTTTGTACAGGACGTACCAAAATTGATCTCCATTCCCAACCGACGTGAAAGTCCCAAGCAGTCAACAACGACGACGACATCACCCCATTCGAAATCTACTTCTTCGTCCATCTCATCACAAACCACCAGCGGTCATTTACAATTGCCGGTTTCCACGCCTATTCTTTCAACTCCTCCGGGACATTTGGCGGCCACGATCGTATCTCCTACCATTCAATTAGTGACATCGTCCGGAATAAGAATGCTCCCGAATGATCAGTCATTGGCATTAAGTCTTTCTCATCCAAACTCCGTCGCGTCCAGTAAGTTTCTCTCTCTCTCTCTCTGACAGTGATGATTTATGCGAAATGATAAAATGTGAATTTTTGCTTTAATTCAAGGCGGAGTTGCGCTCGTTCATAAACCCAACAACGGGGAATCATCCACGGAAGCTTTAGGGCTCATACAAACAAATGGCATCAGGGGTAAAAGTCATCCGATCGGTCTTGCCATTCAAAATGGAGCTTTGGCCCCTGGTTTGACTGCAAAAAATGGAACCATTTACAAACAGCAAACACAAGTTTCTGGTAATTATCATCTTCATCATCATCATCATTATTATTATTCAACTTTGTGTAATTTTTGTTCGTTTTTTTTTTTATACAGAAGGAACATCGTTACTTCCTAGTCATTTAACGTCAGCCGGTATAACGCACGTGGTGGCTCCCATTCCGGGTAGTCACGGAACGTTGGTGACTCCCGTTCCCGTAACCGTCGTCTCACAAGGAAGTCAAGTGGCTCATATATTAACGGCTTCGCCTCAGTTGGGAAACAAAGTTTGTATATCGTTTTGCGAATAACGAACGTGTTGTTCCCCCCCTCCCCCCACCGCCTCAAGTTAGTTTTAAAAATTTAATTTTTTTTTTTTTTTTTAAAGATGGTGACGCCCCTTAGCTTAAAACCCGTTAGCTCCATGCCAATGATGAGTCAGTACATAGTGAAACCAGGTGCTGCCATGGTCGTAGTAAGTCAACCATCAACCGTTCCCCATTCAACAGTTTAAACTAAATTGAAAAGAAGAAGAAGAAGAAGAATGAATGTTTGTTTGTTTGTTTGTTTGTTTTTGGCGGGTCTTTTTCATTTAATTAAACATTAATAATAATAATAATAATTATAATAATTCGAAAACAAAAAAAAACAAAAAAAAATTGTAGAATCGATTTTTCAAATTTAAAAAAAAAAAAAATTTTGAATGTGGACGACGGTAGGCTTGATGTTGATCGTTATCGACATTTTGTTTGTTTGTTAATTTAGTCAATTGATATTTGTTTAAATATGACAATCGATTCCAAATCGGACAAAGGATAATGATAATAATAATAATAATAATGATGATAATGATAATGATAATAACCGTCGGTGTTTATGTGTGGGTGCGTGCGTGTGTGTGCATCTAATTAGGGCCAAATTTTTAATTTTTCAGTTGAATTTTCATTGCTCAAATCATCATCATCATCATCATCATCTTTCGCCGTATATAAATTCACGGAATGGGAAGGGAAGGGGAGGGAGAGAGCTTTCTTTTCCCCCCCTCCCCTTTCCTCCTGTTGAAACGAGTAATAAAATGTAATTTTTTTTTCATTCATTCGAGATAGAAAAAAAGAATTGACCGTTAATCCCGTTTGTCGTTTGTCGTTTGTTTTTGTCAAAAAGAAGTCGTACAATTATTTTATTGTTTGTTGTACAAACGCGACGGATTGTATACATATATTTATAATTTTTTTGCTTTTTTTTTTTTTTACATCCTATTGTTTTATTTCGTTAAATTTAATATTTTTTTTTCTTTACAATTATTATTATTATTATTTAAAACGGGGATTTTTTTTTTTTTTTAAATGGGATTCGTTACACTTACACATTTAATGATGATAATAATAATAATGACGGGATTATCACAAAGAAATTTTCCTACATTCCATCAAAATCATAAAATAAAATAAAAGAAAAGGAGAAAAATGGTTTATGCTAGTCTTATGATATTTTTATTTCTGTCGTCTCATTCAATAAATATAGTCTATCTAGTCTAAAACACGAAAGTAATTTGTTTTATTATTATTATTATTATTATTATTATGAATTCGAAATGAAAAAGGAAAAAATAATAGTGATTATTCATTATGATTATTTTTGTTATATATATACATATAAATATGTAATAAAGTGTAATTATCAAGAAAGTGAGAGAGAGAGAAAGGGAGAGAGACAGATTTATCGAAAAAGAGACAAAATTTGTGTGTCAGAGGAGGAGAAGGAGAAGGAAGGGGGAAAATCGTGTGAATGATTTTTTTTTTAATAATAATAATTTCCATGGCGGTTATTTACGATCAAAAAAATTATGTACGTGTAAAAAAGAGAAAGAGAAGAGAAAAGAAAAACGTTTTTAAAGTAGACTGAACATTGTACAAATATTTAAAATGTAATATTGTTTTTTTTTTTTTTTTTTTGTTTTCTTTCTTTCTTTCTTTCTTTTTTTTCTTCTGCTATTATTTTTTCTTTTATATCGAGTGTATAATAAATAAATAAATAAATGGAGCGGGGTAATGAATGATGAATGGTCGAGATTTCAGTCAAGCCAACCGTCAATTTTCAATAATGACAACAAAACAAAAAAAAAAAAAACTAATTTATGTTAATAAATATATATTATATGTTAGAATTGTGTAATAAATTGAACTTATTAGATGTAAGTTAGGAAAAACAAAACAAAATAAAAACAAAAAAAAAAAAATTAATTAAATAAATAAATAAATAAAGATCAATTTTTTAATTGTTGTTTTTATTATTATTATTATTATTATTATTAACATTTTTTTTTTTTTATTTACAATCTAACATTTTAATAATTCATTAATTGTTTTATTTAAATAAGGATTTACAATTGTTTTGTTTTGTTTAAAAATGGCGGAATTAGTTAGTTAAAAAAATTTACGCTAGAGTGCGGAAAAAACAATGTCATAGATTAAAGGAGAAAAAAAACTTAAACTTTTAGTACAAAAGCTTTTTTACTCTATGATTCCATCTGGTGATATTTTGACACTTAATTATTTATTTAACGCTTTTCTTATGATTATTTTCTACCGGATATTTTTCATTTTTCATTTAAAAAATTTTTTTCGTGACTGAATAAGAAAAAAAAATTAAAACATGTCGAATGATTCGGTTAAATCGGTACGTTTAAATTTATTTATTTGAAGCGTGGTTTTGAAAAAATATTATAAACATTTTCATTGAGTTTTAGTGAGAGAGTGAGTGAGTGAGTGAGTGAGTTATATTGTTCCCCGCCCTTCTTATCTTTTTATATTTACAGCCTGTTAAAGCATTAGAAAAATTTAATTTTTTTTATTTTAATAATTTTATAAGAGTTTTCTTATTATCATTATGATTATTGATAATTGGAAAAGTTTTAATTTCACTCATGATTTAAAAAAGCCGGTACTTGTTTGTGGTTTTTATTTTGAATAAATAAATTGATGAATGAGTTTTTGATTAACCATTGAAAAATAATTTTGTTAAATATAAATAAAAAATTCTCATGATATTCAGTCATTTTTCAACATTTGAAATATTTTCATTTTAGTTTTCAAGTTTAGACACAACTGGATATGTAGGTTTTGCAAATCTTCCTAATCAAGTACATAGAAAATCAGTAAAAAAAGGTTTTGAGTTTACTTTAATGGTTGTCGGAGAATCAGGTTTGGGTAAATCTACTCTTGTTAATAGTCTCTTTCTGACTGATTTGTATCCTGAAAGAGTGATTCCTGATGCAGTGGGTAATTAAAAATAAATTTTTAAATAAATTTCTTTTTTTTTTTTTTAAATATAATTAATTGAAATTGAAAATCAATTTTAATTATAGAAAAAACACATCAAACAGTCAAACTTGATGCATCTACAGTAGAAATCGAAGAGAGAGGAGTCAAATTGAGATTAACCGTTGTCGACACTCCTGGTTATGGAGATTCTATCGACAATACCGATTCTTTTAAGGCTATTATACAATATATTGATGAACAATTTGAAAGATTTCTAAGAGATGAAAGTGGACTTAATAGGAGGAACATTGTTGATAACAGAATACACTGTTGCTTTTATTTTATTTCGCCATTCGGTCATGGGTAATATATAATAATTTATTAAATATTCTCTTAAAAAGATTCTTACATTTTTAAAAATTGCCATTTTGTGATTGTCTGCTACTAGGTTGAAGCCATTAGATATTGAATTCATGAAACAATTACACAACAAAGTTAATATTGTACCAGTCATTGCCAAAGCAGATGTTTTAACTAAAAAAGAAGTGCAAAAACTTAAAAATAGGATATTAGATGAAATAAATTCAAATGGTATTAAAATCTATCCGCTTCCTGATTGTGATTCAGATGAGGATGAAGATTATAAAGAGCAGGTAACATCATGACTCTTTCCTTGAAATGTTTCTATCATTATTATTATTTCAATTGAAAAAATTAATACTTAATTTATGATCTGCATTTATTTTAGGTTAGACAATTAAAAGAAGCTGTTCCATTTGCTGTTTGTGGTGCGAATGCATTGCTCGAAGTCAAAGGTAGAAAAGTCAGAGGTAGATTATATCCTTGGGGAGTTGTCGAAGTTGAAAATCCCGAACACTGCGACTTCATAAAGCTTAGAACAATGCTCATGTGAGATGAATAACATGCTAATAATTTATTTTACCACTTGTTAAAATGACATTAGGGTAATTTTTAATATGATTATGATTCGCAGTACTCACATGCAAGATTTACAAGAGGTCACACAGGAAGTTCACTATGAAAATTACAGGTCGGAAAGATTAGCAAAGGGAGCTCCCGTGCCTAGGCGTCAAACGTAAGTTTCTTTTTTTTAATTATATGTGTTTATTTATGGGAGGTAAAGTTTAACGATTGACCACCAACAGGTATGTTACAAAAAGTTGCATTATGTTAAATTGCAAATTCAATTTTTTTTTTTTTTTTTCTTGTTTTTTTCTTCCCACTTTAAAGTTCAATACCGGAAGTGAAAGATCTAAGCGAAAAAGATAGAATGCTCCAAGAGAAGGAAAGAGAATTGCAAAGAATGCAAGAAATGCTTGCTCAAATGCAAGCACAAATGCAAGGGCAAACAAATTAATGTTTTACGAAAGAAAAAGTTTTAAAAAATTCCTATTTAATTATTATTATTATTATTATTATTAATAATATCATCGTAACTCGGTTATTATTATTATTATTATTATTTAAAGTAATTTTTTTTGTTTTTTTATTCGAGTGTGTTGCACAATTAAAAAAAATTATTCGTGTTGTTGTTCATGGAACACAAAGTAGAATTTTTACATCCGTTTCAAAAAAGGGAATTTTTTCAGTGCCGTATCCCATTCGTATTTCAGTACCGTATATTATTATTTTAACTCGATCTCATAATCTCAGTAGATATTTGAAAGTTTTTAAATTATTATTATTATAGTCAAAATATGAGAAGCCATCGAAAAGTTATTTTTTGTCGAATTGAAAAAATACATTTCTTTGTTTTTTTTAAAGAGGGATGGGGAGGAAAGGTGGGGGGAGAGGGGTTTTAATAAATTAAAAATATATAAATATATATTGAAAATGATAATAATAAATTTATTTTATTTTTTTATAAACAAATGAAATTATTATAAATAAATAAATAGGTTGTCGAAAAAAAAAAATTTTTTTAATATATGTTAAAAGTTTAATTTATATTAAAATATATTTTAAAATAATAATAATAATAATAATAGTAATAGTAATAGTAATAATAGTAATAATAATAATAATAAATAGACAGAGCCGAATGTAATTTTTTTAAATTTTTTGTAAAACAAAATTTTTATTTATAGATATATATATTGCTCAAAATGGTAAAAGAAAAAATGATAATAATAATAATAATAATTATATTTTAAATTGTTTGTTATACGTGTGTTTTATCTTTAAAAAAAAAAGTAATGATAATAATAATAATAATGATGAAGATGTGCGTGCGTGCGTGGGTGTGGGTGGGTGTGCGTGTGCTGATGCTTTTAAGCTAAATTTAATGTTTATAATTTTTTATTTTTATTTTTTTCCATTTAAAATGCATTCCAAAAAAAAAAAAATCGTGAAAATTAATTATTTATAATAACGCGCACACCCACACACCCACATTACACACTTTTTTTTTAAATTTATAAAATTTAGTTTTTGTCATTCGGGTGCCATTAATTTAAAAAAAAAAAATTTTTAATTTTTCAAATTTAAATTTTACTCTTCTTCCTTTTTTACAAACATATCTTACACGCATTTAATTAATAAAAAAATTGTTCTAGAAGTTTCTCTCCCTCTCCCTCTGTCTCTCTTTCTCTCTTTTTTGCATTGTTATCATGTCTTCCTTTAAAAACATTTAAAACAATTTGAAAAAAAAAAAAATTTTCCCCCCTCCTCCTTTTTTTTTTTTATACATACTGATATGTAAATTATTATTATTATTATTATTTATTTAATTAAAACTAAATTATATTTTAATTCGTATCGTGTTTATTTTTATTATTATTATTATTATTATTATTATTATTATTATTAATGTTTTTATGTTTTTTTTATTTTTACATTTTTGTGTATTTTTTTTTTTTTTCGAAATTATATATTTCTTATCAATATTCCAAAAAAAAAATATATATATATATTTTTAAATTAATTTAAAAAGGAAAAAGTTTTATTATTATTATTATCATCAACATCATTATTATTATTTTCAATTTTGATCGTGGTGGCGGTGGTGGTGGTGCAGGTGCAGGTGGTGGTGGGGAGGAATTTCAAGGATGTGAAAAAATTTTTTAAATATGACAAATGGTTGACCAACTGTTTCACACTTCCGGTATTTCCCAATCGAGGTATTACGAATCGATATCCGGTTTGATTTTTTTTTTTTTGTTAAACGTAACCGGATATTAAACGTGATTGATTGTGTGTCATTTCCTGACTAGTCGATTCATTCCACGTTGACGACAAACGGTCCGGCGGAAGGAAAGATTTGTTAATTTTTATCGCGATTTCCACCACGTGTTTTCCGATATCGTTAAACCGGAAATGAATCGTTCGATTTGTGATTCGTCGTCGGATTTTATGCAATCATTATTATTATTATTACTAAATTTTTTTTTAATGTGTTTCAATATTTAAAAAAAAAAAAAAACAAAATGATTGGATAAATTATTTAGGGAAGACGTGGAAGGATTAAATAGAAAGAGAGAGAAAGAGTGAAAGGGTCAAACGTGTCATTAGATTTGTTTTGTTATTCGGGTTGTGAACATTACCCAGATTGTTAAAGGAATTTTTATATAATTATAAACAACAAACAACTTATGACAAAAGTTATGCAAACGTTATAAACAAACAAAAAAATTGTGTCAAGGGATATAAACGTTTGTGTTTACAATACAATTGATTGTTGGTCATTTTAATTTTTTTTGGTAACCGGGTGTTCATCTTCTTCCAAAGATGAAATTTTGACAAAAACAAATTGCGATTGATAATTTATTAAATTCTCCCCTCCCCTCCCCCCTCTCTCTCTCTTTCTAAAAAATTCTTTTGAAATTTCTGTCAGCTAAAAAAAAAAAAAAAAAAAAAATTTTCTTTTGTCTTCTTCATCTTCTTCCTCATCTTCATCATCTTCTTCTTCATCTTCTTCTTCATCTTCTTCTTCTCCTCCATTTTAAATAGTTTTCGATTGATAAATACAAACACAAACACAAACAACACACAATTTGACAGATTTTTTTTGTTTTTCTATTTGATTATTGTGTGTGTCACACAAAATGACACATTTCCAGTTTACGTTTTAGTATCGTTTCATTTAATCGGGGGGGATGAGGGGGATGAGGGGACGAGATGCGGGGTCAGGGGGGAAAGGTCACAATGTTTGTTTTTTTCTCCAAATTAAACAATTTAGAACGGGACATTTGGAAAACGTCAAACTACGTACGTTTCTTATACGAATTCATTAAATTTTTCTCTCTCTCTCTCGTTCTCGCACACGCCATCCCTTCCTCCCTCCCTCCCCCCTCTTGAAAATAACTTTGGAAAATTTCTTCTGCTTTTATATATATTTTATATTATTTTTTAAATTATTATTTTTTTTTTTGATGCCTGGCGACTCTTCCCTCTTAAATCTGTCTAATTTAATTGTTAATTTGATGTTAACCTAACTAACCCATCACTTAAAAAATTTTTGACGTGATCATCATCATCATCATTATTTATTGTCTAACGGTTTTTTTTTTTTCTTAAAAGTCCTTTTAACGACATTTTTCTTTTGTTTTATTCTTCCTTCTAGAAAACAGAACAGAAAAATTTGAAAAAAGAATTTCTGTTTAAAAAATTTTTTACATTAAAGGTTAAATTCTTTCTTTCTTATTTAATAAATTTCCAAACTAAAAAAAAAGTCAAAATCTGGAAACGAATAAAATTAATAGGTTTTAAGTACAAATGAGGTCAACAAGGGTGTTATGAGAAGGGTGAGGGGTGGTAGGAGTGTGGGGGGTGGGAGTGTGCGTGTGTGTAAAAATTTACAAAATATAAATGAAAAAAAAAAAAAAGAAGAAATTTATCATAGTTAAACGTCAAATTTTTTTTTTTTTT